GAGGCCGACGTAATGATCCTGGAGGACGTCTGTGGAAAACATTGCACTACTTTGAGATGGAGTCACGATCCACGAGGCAGTAGGAGAAGGAGCCGAGATTCGATGGAGTCCAATAGGGAGATGGGTCGAGATGTTTAGAAGTGGCCTTTACCACGAGAGCGCGAGAGCTCTGATACTATGATAGAAATGAAATAAAAAGAAGAAGATTATATTGATGAAGTTTTAGTGAAAAAGAAGAAACTTTAGCTTGAATGTATTAACATGCCACTCTCCTATTTATACATATTAGAATAGAGGATGCTATCAATTGGTACTGTCCGCAAGCTTGTGAAAATTTATTCACTTTGAGTAATAGGCATACCCGTATAATTTTATCCCATTAAAGCTACTAAACTTCAAAATGTATCTTTCAAAATAAGAATGACCCGATAGACTTACGAGCCATTGATTCTCCTATTTCTTAATCAATATTGACTAAATATCTTAACGATTAAAAAACTATCAACTAAACTGAATTGCCACCCAGCACAATGAGATATTAGTGAATCATGATCAAATTTTACAAAATCAATCGGTACATCTTTTATTTTATCAAGAATTAAACGACGAGATAAGTGATTCGAAAGAATTCCAAAAGAGTAGAGAGTTAGATATTACCTGTGCCAGGGGGAAATAGTCATGGGAGAAGGCTTTCCTTGCGGATCAAATGGACGAGAAGCAGGGGGTGTTTGTTCTCACCATCTCACCATCAATGCTAATGCTAGCAGGAGCCGTCGAAGGATCGAAGGGACTCGCCTTTGCTATTGGAACATGGGCGGGCAACGGGGGCCATCGACGAGCGTCCGTCAACCTTCGCCCCGTTATTCACCTCCGTTTATAGTGAAATCGATGTAGGAGAAGGATGTTCGTCCATGTCTTTACGACCCAATTATATGTGGGGGAATTGGAGTTGATCTACAAAGAAGAAGGGTTGCTTAAGGACAGATTGGAGAGGGAAAGTTTGCGGGGGGCGAGGTGGCGTCTGATAGATAGATGCACTGTTGACTTTGAGATCCAAACTCGTCTCGATGCAGGAGCAATTGTTACCGTCCGCAGTGATGCCGAGCGCTTTTCTTATCGTTCTTTTGGGGAGCTGTGTTTGACGCAGCAGATACAAGTAGCTTTCCGGGATCCAGAAACGCCTACTGCCTTTTTTACTCTGCAACGACAGTGCCTTCCTTAAGTGCAAATCTTCGTAGGTCCCTCAGCTACCATCTCCAGGTCTTGTCAGTCGAGGAAAGGAAAGAGATTGGAGTGGTTTGGCTCCGGAGGGTGAGACGGGTGGCGGGGTGGTGATTGAGATCGTTGGTGTTGATACCGGGAACTTTGTTTTATTTGATCTCCCGTTGCTTCTACTGCTGCTGTTTCTTTCTCATGGAGAACGGCAGTCGATGACGACGGTGATGATGAGGTGCTTGTGAGTGATAAATAGGCTTCGGAGAGAGGAAGCAAGGAAGCTGTGAGCGGAGGAAGGAAGCGATGGGAACAGGAGGGTGGAAGAGAGCCTTCTGCACGTCGGTCCGTCGAGATACGGATGCTGCTGCGACGAGGACGAGGGTGGAAGCGGGGGAGAAGCATCAGCGCAGCCCCAGGAGCTGCGCCAAGCTGAGCTTCTTCTCCGGCGGCGGCGGCAGCAACCCCTCGACGCCGAGGCTGGCGCTGGCGGAGGCGGCCCCGGGCCTCCGTTGCCGCACCAAGTCGAAGACTCCAGACAACAAGACGGTGCAATGCGACGCGGCCACATCTTCCGTCCCCACCGCCACCACTCCGAGGAGTCGGAGCCCCGCTCTGTTTCATCGGCAGGCCTTCTCCGCGCCTTCGTCTCCGAGAACAGCCTCCAGATTCGCCCTCTTCAAGCACCTCTCCCGGGTATGGAAAAGCTTGCACCTTTACCTTTGATTCCCGCTATTTCGTTTCTTTTCATCTCTTTCTTTTTAATTTGGTCAATGTTTCCTCCTCTCGATTGCTGGATCTCGTGAGAGAGTCGTAGCTTTTGGCCGTGGTGCGGCGCTTTGATTGCAGAATGATGGAGGAATGGACCGAACTCCCTCCCCATCTTTTCCAATCATTTCAGCTGCTTTTTTTGTCTTTTTTTTCTCAGCCTTTTGTTATGATCGAAGCATGTGAAGTAGTACTCTTATTGTTGTCGTCGTCGTCGAAGGCTACTGTTTGTTCTCATTCTGGTGGTGGTGGAACTGCAGAGCCGGTGCAGGATATGTTCGCTGAGCCTGAAGGCGAGCCAGGAGACGCCAGTCTTCACGGCGGAGTGCTCCCACGCCTTCCACTTTTCCTGTATTGCCGCCCACGTCAGGAGCCACGCCAGCCTCGCCTGCCCCGTCTGCTCCGCCTCCTGGCGCCACGCGCCCTTTCTCTCCGCGCTCCGCCGCCGAGAAGACGATGCACCCGAGCCAGGGGCGGCGGGAGAGACGGAGAACTGGAACCCGAATAGGAGAACTACCAACGGCGGCAGCCGGAACACCAGCAAAGGCGGGGAACGGCAGCTGGGGGAGAACAGATTGGCTGCCGGCGCCGCCGCCGCCGTTGTTGCTGCTAAGGTCTATGACGACGACGAGCCGCTGCTGGTTGTGTCGAAGCCCAACCAGGGAGGGGTGATGCGATTCAATCCTATACCAGAAGCAGCCAACGAGGACAAGGATGAGGAAGACGGCGAGGACGAGGAGACGGAGGACGTGGAACGAGACGACGAGTTTTATGGGCTCCTTGCGACCCCTCGCGCCCGATCTGCCAGCCGCACTGACGGAGGAGTCCGTCGTCGGCCGACATCGAGGTCCAGGGCTGGTGGCGGCCTTGTGAGCGTGATGCCGCAGGCGGCCCTGCTCTCGGAAGGGCGGAGGCACCGAAGCTACGTGGTGGTTCTTAAGGTAAAAGCGCCACCGATAGGATCCTTCGCCCCTCTCCGCGCCCCGATTGATCTGGTGACAGTGCTGAACGTGAGCCAAGGCATGACAGGGGAGAAGCTCCGGATGCTGAAGCGCGCAATGCGGCTGGTGGTTTTCTCTTTGGGCCCCGGGGACCGGCTCTCCATAGTGGCCTTCTCGGCAGCCGCAGGTGCTAAGAGGCTCCTCCCTCTACGACGGATGTCGAGGCAAGGCCAGCGCGCCGCCCGCCAGGTCGTGGAAAGGCTCGTCGTGGTGGGCGGTGGCGCCGCCGCGAGAGGCGCCAGCGTCAGCGACGCCCTCCGGAAGGCCACCAAAGTCCTCGAAGACCGCAGGGAGCGCAACCCGGTGGCCACCATCATGCTCCTATCCGACTCCAGGCAGCAGCAACCGGAACAAGAGAAGAAGGGGAGCAACCATCATGATTACAAACCCCTTCGCTCGCCGCGTGGTACCGGCGGTGGCCATATCGGGCTTCATCCTCTAGCAACGACGACCGCCGCCACTCGCTTCGCGCATCTGGAGATCCCCATCCAAGATGCTGGATTTGGAGACGGTGGAGCAGAACGACCGCCACAGAAACAGGGTCAGGTGCCATCAGAAGACGCGTTCATCAAGTGCGTGGGCGGCCTCGTGTCCGTGGTCATGCAGGACGTCCGCCTCCAACTTGTCTTCCCGTCCGGCGAATTTTCTGCCGTGCACCCGTGCGGAGGTGGCGGCGGTGGCTGCGAAGTGGCCCTCCGAGGAGGGACTTCTGTCATCCGGTTGGGGGACCTCTATGCAGATGAGGAGAGGGAGCTGCTTGTGGAGCTGAGGTTGCCGGTTGCGCCGCCCGGCGGACAGGGCGGGCACCACCGCTTGTCAGTGAAGTGCAACTACAAGGATCCAGCCACCCAAGATCTCGCGTTCAGCGCGGAGCAGATCCTTCTCTTGCCGCCCCTCCTCCAGCACCACTCCGAGCTCGGCCGTTCTGCCTCGTCCTCCGCCAGCCCGACCACTTCCCTGCGCCTACGGAACATCTTCGTCTCGACCCGCGCGGTGGCGGAGTCGCGGCGCCTCGCCGACCTCTCGGATTACGCCACGGCCCGACACCTCCTCTCCTCCGCTCGCGCGTTGATTCTGCAGTCCGCTTCCGATGGCCGCCAGGACCACCACCTCGTCCAGAACCTTGACGCGGAGCTCGCCGCCCTCCAGCGGCGGCGGTACCAGGCGCAACACCGGCTTCATCATGATCAGCTGCAGGAAGAGGTCCTCTCGCCATCCGGGATGAGGCGCCGGCGGCGGGAAGCTCCGGCGGAGGTGCGAGGGGAGCCTCTGACGCCCACTTCGGCTTGGCGCGCCGCCGAGCAGCTGGCCAAGGTGGCCAGCACGCGGAAAAGCCTGAACCGGGGCGGCGATCTACATGGGTTCGAGAACGCCCGGTTCTGAGTGAAGACCGACCCAAACCCTATAAATAATCCATTCTCCTTTCTTTTATTGTAGACATTATTATTCTCAAAACAATGAACATTCTCATCATACATACATACATCCACCAATTGAGTTAGGCGACATTAAATCATCCAAAAATTATAGCTTGCGATTTTGTCCAATTTGTGCAATATTAAGGATCCTATCAAAGCCATTCATCCCACCTTAACTTTTAATCTCAACCACCAATTTGCTTTATAAAATCAACTTTATAATATACATATGTATAGTATATATACATATGGAAGCAGCATATAGGTTTGAGAACAATCATAAGCTCAAATACTACATAACCAGTAATAAAAACAAACTCACAAGAGAGTGGCTTATTAATTTGTTTTATCAAAGTATTAAATGTGTAAGTGCTAAATATGGTTTTATTACGCATGTATATATATATATATATATATATATATATATATATATATATATAATTTGAGAAAACATGAATGGGTTATAATCTATGGATTGAAAGTGATCAAATGACGAATTAAACCTTTTACTCTATGTGGACGGGAGGGACATGATGTGGTATTTGTCATATAGACAGGGATATATACGTAAAGAAGTCCTATTTCGACTTCAAGTCCGCCGTCGCTTCCCTCATCCCCTCTCACACGACAAATCCCTCATCCGCTGTTGCCGCCTCTGCTTCGATGCCGAATCCTCCCATCCCTCTGCTTCGCTCTTTTGCGCCGGTCTCCTACGACCACCTCGATGGCGGAGCAGATGCGAGGAGGAGGAGGAGGAGTTACTGCCGCCTCGATGATGTCCTCTTCTGCCGATGGCTGCGACTAGAACGACCTCTGGTTCGTCTTCTCTTTTGGCCATGCGGCATTGGTGGTTGGAGTAAAGGACTCGCCAGCCATGGCGGCTAGGCCTACGATCCTACGTATGGCCCATGGGAGTGGACTCCTGTCCGCCCTCTCCAAGTGCAATCCCGCCATGGGCAGCAGAGCAGATCACACTACCTCCCTTATGTTGGAAGAGGAGGAGGAGGCGTAAAGCACAAACCTGTAAGGCCTGGAATGTCGGTAGCCAATTCTCTTATACTTCAAGTCAGAAAGAGACCACCACCATTGCCGCCACCTTCTCTTCTACTCTTGGAAGCCAAGCCAGGTTCTTGCTCTTGGGAACACACAGGAACCCCTCTCGATGGATTTTTCCTGCAAAGCAACCTCCTGCCTCCTCTCTTGGTTTATATTGGATCGCTAAGCTCCCATGGTTTAACACATAGCTTGTAGCTTGATTCGCAGATCAAATTTCTTGCTGAGGTGAATGGGGAGAACATTGGGCTTCTTCTCGATTTTGGTGCTGCTCATCTTGATAATAAGTGCCAGTTCCAGTGATGACCAGAGATTCACGACTGACAAGATTCACTTCTGGTTTAATGGAGATGGAGAACAAGAGCAAGAAAGAGCCGGAGGGCTCAGCGACGAAGCAGATTCGATTCTGATGCTGGAAAGGGGAGGGGTGGCGCGCGTCCCTGTGAATGTCCATAGCTTTGGTGCAGTTGGCGATGGTGTAGCAGACGACACCATGGTACAGCTACAGCTGCCAGTTCTCCACATTTTTATTTTAGATTTCCTTCTTTCATTAATATCTTTCACTTGAAAGTCCAATCTGATGATTACATATGGAAATCTTGGACTTATAATATGTTAGGGATAGAATTGAGCCTATGCCAAGCTTACTCATATCTAGCAATATTTCTTAGTTTACATCACTTTTGCGCATCCTTTTTTGTCATTAATGTAATATGATATTTAGCCTCCTTATTAGAAGCTCTCACCAATTCGGGATCTTTTACTATCTAAATTGATTCTTTAAATTGTTTATCCTCTTTTTTCACATAAATTTGGCGCAATTATTTCTGATACATGATCCAGGTGAACACTGTGATGGAAAACTGTGAAAATCCCTTGAATTTTCTAGATATTTGTAGTACATACACTAGTTTGGAGATTGATCTGTAATGCAAAATACTAGATTCTTGTAGATATACCTCTGATATGATATGTCACAGATCAGCCAAAGTCTGATAGATTTGGTCCACCCAGTTTGCATCTCTATGTGATTATGGTTTTCATTATGTTAAAAATTGGTAGTGACAATGGTGATCCCTCTTGATAGAAAGCTTAGCTCCATCCTTCGGAAAACCAACTAGGAGGGCCCCCATACGGCTCCAGTATCACATTTATTTGGTGCTTATGTTAGTTCTGATACCTTGTAGCTAATTTCTTATTTACATCCAAAATGTCTTGTAGGCGTTCCGAAATGCTTGGTATAAGGCATGCTCTTTGAAGAATGCAGTTCTTCTAGTGCCTGAGCGGCATCGTTATAAGGTTAATGCCACTAACTTCAGAGGGCCCTGTCAACGGCACCTAATTGTCCAGGTACTATTTATGTTTCTTGGCACCTTATGTAATGCATTATACAGTGCTATAACAAGTATGAATTAACAAGGTCTACAAATTGTAGGAATCCTCAAAAACACCTGTGTATGCTGCTTCTTTCCTTACAATTATAGTACAAATGTATAAATACAGCTATGAAGCTCAATTGCCTTAAAACATTCATGAATTACAAGGATACCCTTCCATTTTGGAATTGGTCAGGTGAAAGGGACAATAGTAGCACCGGATGACCCAAAGGATTGGGATCCCAAGTACCCAAGTACGTGGCTATCTTTCTCAAACCTAAACGGGGTCAGGTTCCAGGGTGGTGGGGTAATCGATGGTTCCGGTAGCAAATGGTGGGCTGCTTCCTGCAAGATCGATAGAACCAATGTAAGAAATAACTCACATCTTTTTTTGCCTTTTGTTAGCTATGCTTTATGCTCCAATCTCACATATTTTTTTTTCACTTATATGCAGCCATGCAAAGAGGCACCAACGGTAAGATTCTTATGCACTGCTTTTTCTAGTGCTATCATCTAGATTGGATGTTAGGTGGACATGTGGAACATTTTCTGTCATTTTAGCCTTTCTTTTGGTCCAAGGTCTCATGGATTGAAAGTTTTTGAGTAGAGACTTGTCAGATATTTTGGTCTTTTAATTTATAACTTAATATGGTACATAATGCACTGCTATCTTTAAGTTAGATCCCTTCTGGGGATATATCATTGTTTTACTGAGGCAACCAAGAATAAGGAGGATTCCAAAAATAAACAGCTGGGCATGGCTAATTCATGATTTCGTTTTTCTAGAATAGGTGAGAAAAAATGTTGGGCGTATCAATTTTCTGTGTCATGTTATGATCCAATATATGTCGAAAAATAAGGGGAAAAACAATTTGAGATGGATTGAATGAAAAACTATCTATATGTATATATCACATATCTGAATATATGAAGATTAGTAGACATGTGGATATAAATCAGGTGCATGATGATCTTGTCAGTGTTTAGGATGGATATTGTATATAGTCGAGTGTAATGTTAATTTCAACACTTCCTTCTAAACAATAAATTCAAAGAATAAAATCCTATTCTTAATCAGGTGCTTGTACCAACAAAAGTCTTAAACTTGCAGATTCTAATTGGAAAATTAATTTCTGAATGTTACCAAATAAAAAAATTTATCTAGAACCTCCTAATTTAGCAATACAAATTTATAACATTAGCACAAGAACCTGTTGGTTACACTGACTTATGTTTCAGGCACTTACAATTGATTCAAGCACCAAGATAAGAGTGAAAGGCCTCACTATCCAGTTCGCTCAGCAGATGCATTTCGTGATATATCGTTCAGATGTTGTACGAGTATCTGGAGTGCGCATATTGGCCCCAAAAGATAGCCCAAACACAGATGGCATTCACATTGGTGAGTCAACCGATGTTGCCATCCAGAATTGCCACATTGGAACAGGTACATCTGCTATCTGAAACTTCTTTAAATGCTTGTCTGTGATGATTGTGTCATTTCAAAGTAGGAGGCATGCATGTGTTATGCAAGTACAACAATAATGGATATTAGTTGGAGTTACTCTTTATTCTTTTTAAAATCTTTGCATCTTAGTGTAGAAAAATTTGAGATTAACCTGCATGATTGTGTAGGATTAACTGAACAAATAAATTCTTGTTTGAATTTTACAAACAATGAACAATTTGTATCGCTCTTATGTGTCCTTACGCATAAGGCATGACAGCATCAACTTAAGCTTAATCTCCCCAGTTGTCAATGTCTACTGTATGAACATTGTTGAACTAAATGGGAAATCTAATTTTGGACATGAAAATTTGTCTTTCTTTCCCCAATTGCATATGCCTTTTTTGATGTATTTCTTGATATTATATCTCAGATCATGGCTATAAGTGAAAACACTTTAACAATAAAGAAGTCATTTTTGTTGATTAAACAGGGGATGATTGTGTTTCAATTGTGAATGCTAGTTCAAATATCAAGATGAAGAAAATTATGTGTGGGCCAGGGCATGGAATCAGGTACCACCTAGTATTGTGTTCGAATTGTCTTGAAAAAACCTTGAATGAAGATTGACCTGCTGATTAAGAGTGATGATGTGATTTCTCTCTGTGGTAATTTGGATGGTTAGTATAGGGAGCCTAGGAAAGGATAAGTCAACAGGCATTGTTACAGGTGTTGTCTTGGACACTGCAACAATCTCTGGCACTAAAAATGGTTTAAGAATCAAAACCTGGCAAGTAAGTATCCTGCAGTCATATGCTTGATATCTTATATGGCTTTGGTCTATGGAGAAAAGAAATGTCTTGCCTCATACTATCTACATGGATGATTGCCTAAAGTCTCAAATTGCTGAACAGGGTGGATCAGGATATGTTAAGTCAGTGCGCTTTGAGAATGTGAAGATGAATGATGTTGAGAACCCGATCATCATAGACCAGTTTTACTGTGATTCCCCAGCCACTTGCAAGAACCAAGTAAGGTCACTTAAGCTTAATTCCTTTGTTCACATAATAAAAATGGTATAAAGATAAAAACATTGATGTTTAATGACATACCTGTCTTCCTGTGCTTTCTGCTTCAGTTCTCCAACCGAAGTTCAAATTTTCTAGCAGTTGTACCTTGCCATATAATCTGGAACTATATCTGTAACAACTAAGATCTAACTGCAAGTAATGCTAGTAAACATGATTAGAATGCTTGGTTTCAAATTTGTAATTTTCCATTACAAATAGTCATCCAATTATGTTATAGATGTATCTACACGGCATACAAAACTTTTGGTTTAGTGATATGGTCAATTTTGGTGATCAATCCAACTCGGTGAAATTTATTCTGACCCAACTTGTTTTTCGAGTTGTTGTATCATGGCTCAAGGAAAATTGGACCATTTGTATCATGTATGACATATCTGCACCAAGGGTGCATTCAACTAAACTTCTTCGATGTTCGAGGTAGTGTGTGTTTGTTCGTTTCAAACATCAAAAACCCATAAGGAGTTCATAATTCATCTACTCATTTTGAAGAAAAAACCTTTAAAAAGATTATTTTGTATAGTGTCTGTTTTTCCACTGTCATGGCAATTTAGTATTATGTTGATATAACATGTCCACTGGATTCTTTGTCATCTTTGAAAGTTGACATGACATGTCCAGCAGACATTGACTGGAACTCTATGTGCCGAGTCCTGATTTATCGAAAATAATGAGGATATCACAACCTGGTTGTCTTGGTAATCCCTAACTTGCCTTTGTAGTGTTGATAAACCAATTCGATTAGTAAGAGTTTCAAGTAGTAACATCCTTATCATGGAATAGATTTTGTTTCTCTTAGTCAAAGATTTGTGAAAAATTCAACAAGAATATCTAGTAGAGATGATTACTTTGTTGAAAATGTCCTAGAAATTTGCTACCTTCTTGAAATTGTTAATATCACTAGCAAGCTGTTTTTCTTTTCCTCTTTCTTTTCAGACATCAGCAGTGAAGATAAGCCAAGTCATCTTCAGGAATATAAATGGCACCTCAAGAACTCCTCACGCAATGAAATTTGCATGCAGTGACACTGTACCATGCAGCAACATTGTCCTGAACAACATTAACCTCGAGACGGAAAACGGCACAGCTAAAACCTTCTGCAATTGCGCCATGGGATTCCACTACGGAATTGTGCAGCCTACGGCGGATTGCCTCAAGTCCTCCAGCTGTGGCGGAATCCAGGAAGATGCCCAAAGGCAAACTCATGATCCTACCCACACAGAGCTATGATTCCTCTCCTCAAAGAAGCCATCACAAACAAGTGATGGCAAAGTGCCAGAAGATAAGGCTAGTGCTGCTGGGGTTATTGAAGATGTGTTCATGTCTACTTTTTAAAGATGGATAATTTACTTGGGTGGCTAAACTTGAATTGTTGAAAGTGAATACTATGTAGCTTTGTACCTATAGAACACTAAAAAATATTCTTTATGATCTTACAATAATCAATTTCTCTTGCTTTCAAATTGAAAGTTGATAAAAAAAAAAATCTATGTATAATGTTGATGACAGGATGGATACCAACAAGAATGAAGCTTGATTTTTTATTTGTAATGGTTCGATAACAAGGACGAGATGAGATTTGATTCCCTGATATGATAATAGTTATAGTACCATCAAAGTTATTTTTTATTTCTAATCTTGTTCTAATATGATAACCTATTTGATTAAGATAAACTATAAAATTTTGATTGCATAGTAAGGTAACGTCACAACTCTGAATCTTCAAATAACACCGACTCAGTTTACATGTAATGATCACAGTTGGCGACATTCTTTAATGCATCACAACAGATCATATCATCCTAAATACGTCCACATCTATTGTTCAACGCGATGATTAAACATCCAAATTATTGTCTTATTCGACGAAATATTAGCGTGTGATTCCAGAAATATCTCCTCGCCCACTTGTCGAATTGTGGCCCAGAAGAAGACATCTGTGGTGGACACAGTCAACACTGCACAGTCATCATCCCATCAGCCACGTTTAGTTCCTTAACATAAGCGTCAGAACATGATTCCTACGAGACGGCAAGTCTTGCAGCTTACATTACCTGCACTTGTGCGGTTGTCGTAGAGCTTTCGGCATGGGCTGCGCTCCGACGAGCGCAGGCCCACCACCTGTCCGCAAACCTTCAGCTGCAAACCACGAGAAAATCGTCGTCCCAACCCACCAATCGATCACGTATTGACTCATCTCTGAGTCGGAGGTTGAAGGCAGAGAAAGCAATGGCGTGAACGTCTTCAACCTCTGCGCCTGCGTTAAGCAAATCGCACGTGTACAGCTCTCGTGACGTGACGAAGCCGTGCAGCCGCTGTTTCTTCTGGTGCTTTCGCAAGGTAGGGCGCTACAAAAATCTGCCGGGGAACACGGCCACGCGTCGCCAGATGTGCGGCAGCGGCTGGAGCTCCCTCGGCGCGGGTAGGGAATATAAAGCGGTCCCCCGGGCTTCCCACCTTCCCTCCCGTCCATGAGAGCGCATCGAGCGTGTTGGTCTGGTGCAAAGAGTGCTCTTCCATCAAGAAGAAGCAGTCCTCGGCTTTAAGATGACGGTGACTCCCGGGATCACGATCAGCGACGGGAATCTGGTGGTCTATGGGAAGACCATCCTTACCGACGTCCCGGACAACATCGTCCTCACTAGCGGCACCGGCGCCGGCCTCATGGCTGGGGCCTTCATCGGCGCCGCCGCCTCCGACAGCAAGAGCCTCCACGTCTTCCCCATGGGCACCCTCCGGTAAGTCCCCGCTCCTCGGTTACGCCTTTGTGTGTATTGTGATCGGTCGGAGATTAACGGCCGGCGTGGTGCGTCGACCGCCAGGGGGCTACGGTTCATGTGCTGCTTCCGTTTCAAGTTGTGGTGGATGACGCAGAGGATGGGAACGTGCGGGCGGGACGTGCCGCTGGAGACGCAGTTCCTGCTGGTGGAGGGCAAGGAGGCGGAGGCGTCCACCGTCTACACCGTCTTCCTCCCGCTCCTGGACGGCCCGTTCCGTGCCGTCTTGCAGGGCAACGACAAGGACGAGATCGAGATATGCCTGGAGAGCGGTAAGCAAACAATCAAGAGACCGGCCAACTGTAGAAAGTGCAGATGCGGCGTTTGATGTTATTGCTGGCTCGTTTCCTGGTGCAGGAGACGAGGCGGTCGAAACAAAGCAGGGGATGCACATGGTCTACATGCACGCCGGCGCCAATCCCTTCGAGGTCATCAGCCAGGCGGTGAAGTACGTCGCACCTGTTAACTTCGTAGCTCAATAGGCTTCCTGATTCCTTTCTACTAACCAATTCGCTGTGGTAAATCCGCCGAACAGGGCGGTGGAGAAGCACCTGCAGACGTTCCACCACCGCGAGAAGAAAAAGGTAAACACCCTCGTTCACGTGACGGGAACCCTCTCTCGCGCGCTGTCTATGTCCGGAGATTTCTGCAAGCTTCTTCGCACTGATAGATGACGGTGATTGACGCAGTTGCCTTCCTTCGTGGACTGGTTCGGGTGGTGCACGTGGGACGCCTTCTACACAGACGTCACCGCCGAGGGTGTGGACCAAGGCTTGCGAAGGTGAAGACCTCTCTTTCTCCGCCGTAACTGCGGTGGCTCGTGAGAGCATCCGTCGATAACCTCTCGTCCCCCGTGATTTCGCAGCTTGTCCGCGGGCGGTGCTCCGCCGCGTTTCCTCATCGTAGACGACGGGTGGCAGCAGATCGGCAGCGAGGTCAGGGATCAGACGGCTGCCGTTGTCCAGGAAGGAGCACAGTACGCATCACGACCCTCAGTCCTCCTCGTTCGCGATGACCCCCGCGAGTGGTCCCTTCTTCCCGTCTCGTCAAGCTGCTTTGTGACTGGCAGCAGCGGCGGCGCCGCCAATCACAAGGCAGATGAGCGAGACGAGGAAGGCCATGAATTGAACTCTTGGTAGGATCTCCGTTTGGTGGTGGCGTGTTTAATGTGCGGTACTGTTGACCAGGTTCGCCAGCAGGCTGACGGGGATAAAGGAGAACGCCAAATTCCAACGCAAGCAGGGCGAGGGCGAGCGGCGCAGTGGGCTTAAGCAGGTAGTGGAGGAGGTCAAGAAACGCCGCGACGTGAAGTGAGTCTTATACGCTCAAACAAGTTGTTAAGATAAACTAGTCAGTATTAATATATATTAACTCAAAATTATTGATAGATTATAAGTTAGACTATATATATATATATAATTCTATTTTTTAGATATTTATTGATGATTATTTTTCTTCAATCTCTTTTCACACTTTAATATCTTTTAATATATTTTTTATTAATGTATGATTAAATTATCTCTCTCTTGCTCGTAAAAATAGATGGTGTGATCAATTTTATTCGCTTGACTCTTATTTTCAACCTCATGTTAGTTTAAATTTTTCTTTAATATTAAATTTATAGGACTAATATATTAAGTTTGATAAAAAGGAGAAAGGAGACATATAATTATATAACTATATATATTTAATTTAAAATTATAATATAAAATTTCAATAATTATAATTATATATATAATTTAATTATATATGTAATTAAGTTTTCTTTCATAATAAAATAATTATTTTACAATTTTAATTAATACTTATTATTTTTCTAAATATCTCTAATGTTTTTTAAAATATTAATATATTAAAAAAATTCTCTATGCATGTGTGACTTAATTGTAAGACGAGCGAATGACTGTTCTGATCCGAGCAAGCTGTTGTTGCAGGTTTGTGTACGTGTGGCACGCAATGGCCGGATACTGGGGCGGGGTGAAGCCGGCGGTGCAGGGGATGGAGCACTACGAGAGCGCGCTGGCGTACCCGGTGCAGTCGCCGGGGGTGATGGGCAACCAGCCGGACATTGTCATGGACAGCCTCTCCATCCATGGCCTCGGCCTCGTCCACCCCAAGAAGGTGTACAGCTTCTACAACGAGCTGCACGCCTACTTGGCCGCTTGCGGCATCGACGGCGTTAAGGTGGACGTGCAGAACATCATCGAGACGCTGGGCGCTGGCCACGGCGGCCGCGTCTCCCTCACCCGCGCCTACCACCAGGCCCTCGAGGCCTCCGTCACCCGCAACTTCCCCGACAACGGCTGCATCTCCTGCATGTGCCATAACACCGACGGCCTCTACAGGCAATGAAGCCTCACCCTCTCCTCCTCTCCATCGACGATTCATGCTTTGCATACTAATCTGATGGTTTGACTGCGTCGGTGCAGCGCGAAGCAGACGGCGGTGGTGAGGGCGTCGGACGACTTCTACCCGAGAGACCCGGCGTCGCACACCATCCACATCTCCTCTGTGGCCTACAACACCCTGTTCCTGGGGGAGTTCATGCTGCCGGACTGGGATATGTTCCATGTAAGTGAGCACTCATTTCTCCCCTGAATCAAATCCTTACTTGAGCAACACAAGTTTGATATGGCAACCTCCTCCTCTGAGCAGAGTCTCCATCCAGCAGCAGAGTACCACGCTGCTGCTCGAGCAATTGGTGGCTGTCCCATCTACGTTAGGTGGGCGACCGCGTTCACAGCTAAGTGGAACCTCACCGTACGATCCTTTCTTCTAAGCTTTGCTTGCACGTTGGCGCAGTGACAAACCGGGCCACCATAACTTCGAGCTACTGCGTAAGCTAGTGCTGCCGGACGGCTCCATCCTGCGCGCGCAGCTCCCGGGTCGCCCGACGCGCGACTGCCTCTTCTGCGACCCAGCTCGTGACGGCACCAGGTCGCCCATCGTCTGCCTTCCTTTACTCTGCGTTGTGATGGCGAGTTATAGAGCTAAGCCTCGTGATCCATGTCGTCCTTTCAGCTTGCTCAAGATATGGAACGTCAATAAGTGCTCCGGCGTGGTGGGGGTCTTCAACTGCCAAGGCGCCGGCTGGTGCAGGCATACCAAGAAGACTCGCGTGCACGACGCCGCCCTGGGTACACTCACGGGCACAGTCATTGCCACCGACGTCGACGCCATCGCCCAACTCGCCGGCCCGGATTGGGGCGGCCAAGCTGTCATCTATGCCTTCAAATCAGGTTTAATTACATAACTTGTTGATCGCTCTCTTCACCTGATACGTCGTCATAGATATGCTCATCATAATCTCTCTTCAGGAGAGCTGATTCGGCTACCCAAGGGAGCAACGCTGCCGGTGACTCTCAAAGTTCTCGAGTACGAGGTCTTCCATGTCTGCCCTGTCAAGGTATATAACTACTTTTCCTGACAATTCCTCGTTAGATCGGTGCAGTGAAGGAGATCCAACTGTGTACATATATGCGCAGAACATCACCCCGAGCATATCATTTGCGCCGATTGGCCTGCTAGATATGTTCAACACCGGCGGCGCGGTGGAGCAATTCGACGTGAGCGTGACGTCAAACCACGCCGCCGCTGGACAAGACGACGGCCACGTCCCCAGCGATCCGACGGCCACCCTGAGCACGGCCACTGTGGCACTTCGGGTGAGCGGCCGCGGGCGTTTCGGGGCGTACTCGTCACAGCGGCCACTCAGATGCACGCTCGATTCGTCGGACGTGGAGTTCAGCTACGACGAGGGGACTGGGCTTGTGACCATCAACTTCCCGGTGCCGGAGAAGGAGATGTACAAGTGGAGTCTGCAGATCCAAGTTTAGAGGCAAAGCAGGAAGATTTGAGGGTTGGGGAGTTGAAATGTGATGATGCGTAGATGACTACTAATGAGGTGATTTGAGGTGGATGCAGCAACGTTCTAATAAACAGCTATCATCGCACGAAACGAGCTCTCTGCCATTGCTGACACATTTGAAGCTTCTTCTTCTCAATCAAATGATATTATGCTGAGAAGTTGACCTGTTGCTTTCAAACCGATTGCCTGAGATCTAATCTACAGACATTAAGATCTGTGCGACAAATAAAACAACAAACAGGATTACAAGCATCTTGAATTCACTTCCAACTGACAGAAAAATAACTTCTTTATACTTAAATTCATTTGCTTTAATTGCATTATAGAAATATTAAGTCATGCCTTTGTCATTTGTTTTAATAATTGAGGAATTGCATGACAAAAGCCCAGAAGATCTACAAATAGTAACTCTATTGAAGTGCTAATCCCATAGAGCTAGGTTGATTGAAGTC